CGGAGGGCGCATATTTTTCTGACACGATTTCTCGAATATTCATACTGGTAGATCTAGTTGGACAAAAAAACAAACAAAAAAAAACAGAGTATGTCAGATTTAATCCATTTCCTATATATATATATATATATATGAAGAAAAATATACGGAAAAAACAAACAAAAATCCTAATATGCAATTATGCTATTTTAATGTTAATATAATGTCAACGTCGGACGTTTCGGTCTAATAGACCATCTTCAGGACATATTCATAAAACATAATTAACATTAGACCATATTCAATTCAACATGAAAAAGACGATGGACATAAAAGCAAGACCAATCCAAACAGATAACTGAAATCTTTTATAAGACCAGCGTTCCGTTTAAATATGATCACGTCGTCGTCACGTGGGCTATATATATATATATATATATATATATATATATATATATATATATATATATATATATATATATATATATATATATAAACCTAAAGAGCCAGACAACCTACCACTGTCTCACCTAAGCGGATCGTCAGGGTTTACTGGTTACTGGTATTGGTTTGATTATTCACAAATCAAGGCACCTAAGGTTTTCCGGGCGAGTGTAATTTCTTATATTTATAAGATTACAACTAGTATATATATATATATATATATATATATATATATATATATATATATATATTAGGGTTATGACTTTTTGTAAAATAATTGATTTTCTGTATCATAATTTGGTAGACTTCTGTTTAAATATAATGAAGAAGAGTTTAACTCAGTTTATTTTCTTAAGAATTTCAACCACCAACACGAAATTTCTAACATTGGATATAAGTAAAGTAGCACTGACTTTCTGGAGCCTTGTAGAATTTTTTGAAGCCTTCAATAAATTTATGGAACCCTCTAGAACGTTTCAGAAAATTCTAGAGCACTCTACAACTTTCTGGAAAATTGTTGTCATTTAGATAAGTCGATAATGTTGTGTTTGGGATCAAATAGTGTTTTTCTTGTTTCAGAGTATATAAGCTTCCATGATTGAGCAACGCTGATTGATTTGCTGAAGATCTCCAAGTATCTATGTATATTTCTGAGATGAGGTACTATGCACAGTATAGAAGGGATAGTCACTGGCCATCATTCGTCCTGGGTATGATGATAAACTACATCCGACAGAAAGGCCTCTGATCGAGAGATTAGAGTTTTTGAGGAGCATAGAACCACTTCTTAATCAATATCTGTCTATATTTCTGAGATGAGGTATTATGTACACTATTTACATTATTCGGACTATTGTCCTCATCTTTGTCGCCATATTTATCCGATTCTTCAGTATCTGTCTATATTTCTGAGATGAGGTATTATGTACATTATTTACATTATTCAGACTATTGTCCTGATCTTTGTCGCCATATTTACCTGATCCTTCAGTATCTGTCTATATTTCTGACATGAGGTAATATGTACATTATTTACATTATTCGGACTATTGTCCTCATCTTTGTTGCAATATTTATTCGATCCTTCAGTATCTGTCTATATTTCTGAGATGAGGTATTATGTACACTATTTACATTATTCGGACTATTGTCTCCATCTTTGTTGCCTTATTTATCACAACGTTTCATCCGTTGTACTCTCCGGCCTACTTCAGGTGGTTGGAATGTGGAACTGAACCCTTTATACCGATCTAGTTCCACGTGCGATGTTTAATGGGTGTCAGTTTTCAGTTATCTCCTGTTAATTCGCCTCTCCAAGTTCTCCACTGCCTTAACTGGGTATTGAACTCACAACTCTTTGGATCTTGTCACTGGATGTAACCAACGCCTTTATCCCTTCTATCATGTGTCCTTAAGGACACTTGCTACAGATCTCCAAGTCTTCATTTTTAAGCATAACGTCTCATAAAAAGTGCATCTACCACTGAAAGAAACAAGAAGATCTTGACGAAGAGTCTCATAAGGTTTCAAGATTCACATGAGAAAAACTGTTCCACTAGAACGGCGTTTCTCAAGCTTATTTTTTTCCTCCATGCCGCTCTTGTAGAATGACAAAAAAAGTGACCGCACTTTCTATTTTAATCAGGAAAAATTACTCTTGGAATAAGCATTTATTTTTAAGAAATTACATTGTATATCTAAATATTCTTGTGTGAAAACTACGCTTGATCTGTTTTGATAGCTTTTGAATGATAGGCCTTATATGTTATGTCTTGAGAAAAGCAAAGAGGAATTAAAATACACAAGCGCCTGATGACACGCATCGAAACACGACTGCAATTTTGTAGCGATTTTAATATGTTTTTCGATGTAACATCCTTAAATAAAGAATATTGCTCTGTTTTGTATTGAGCTCTCTTTTAAATGAAATGTTACGAACGTCGGAATTGGACTCTATTCGTTCTCATCTTACCTGGATTTTCAAATATAAAAAATAATTCCTTAGTTGCTCTTCTGTTAACTTAAGCCGCGCTTGGCTATATTTCAGGGCGCATCAGTGCGCCCGGGCGTACCGGTTGAGAAACGCTACACCGGAAGAACAACAACTGTAAAACAAAAGCAGGATACCACTCAAAATCTAAATAGTTTGTCGCTATCTGTTCCTTGGAACGTCCATCAAACGAAGGAAAGAACGTATAAAGGAAATGACTAAAGAAGTGACAAGTTTATGGCAAAAGAAATTAAATTTCCCAAATTATAAACTCAAGAAATAAAGGTAAAGCTGGATGAAGTGCTGAACACTTACGACAAGTGTGTGAAACGTGAAAAATATGATCTATTAAATGAAATTTTTGACATCACAAAAGAAAATGTAGAAAGTAAAGGCCATGTTGGATATGTAATCGGAAAGACCGCGAATTTCCCAATGTATCCAAAAAGAGAAACGTGACTTTGGAGCGAACTTCAGCCATATTAGAAAATTCAAAATTAAGCTTCAGCAAGTTTGTAATTTTTGTTTATTTGTAAGTTTTTCGATGTTAACGAACACTCGTTGCCACTTTTGAGATGCCAACGAATACTCGTTGATACTTTCGTAATGCTCATTGTAGTAGAGACTTTGTAATCGCAGATACAACTATAATAACGCCGTTGAACAACACTAGTGTCAGACGCCTTCGAATAAAACTTGCAGTAATAGTATTTGCTCGATAGTACTCGCTCGAATTTAACAACCGAATAGTGATCCGAATAGAGAAATAGTATAGTGTAGAGAATAGCGATTCTTATAGTATAGAGCATAGAATAGAATGGAGGTCCGAATAGTATAGAGGATTGACTAGAATATCGCAATCCGAATAGTAATAGAGGATAGAATAGAGATAATGATCATTTAGGCACACACTACCTCTCACATATGGGTTTCTTCTATGGTTACTGTTATGGGGTCCTCCCCTTTGAATGTTTATCAGGTTGTTGGAAGGTCAGTCTAAACATGTGGAGTACACAAAAATGACATGATTCACAGTCTGACAAATAAAATCGAGTAATATTCAAGAAATTTCTTTTTTTTCTTTTTTTTTTTCTCCTAAAATGAAGATTGTTTAAATTCTGATCATATTTTTATGGTGTGAAGCAGACACATGTGCTTAAAATCTTCAAAAATATGAGGTGATGGATTTAACCATTTTCCTGTGATTTTTAATAATATTTGTTGTCGTGAATGTTCGTTTGGTAAAGTAGTAATTCTTTCAGGTTTGGTTTACGGCATATCAATCCTAATGCGTTATTTAATGCCGACAAAATTTTTTTTTGCTGATAATGTTTTTCTTCAAAAATCTATTTCTGGGAATATTTTTCCTTGAAGAAATCTATAACTGGTCATATTTTTTATCAAAGAATATATAACTGTTTGTATTGATGGTATTTTTTTTTTAAGTATTGCTGATAATAATTTATTCCTTCAAAAATTATTGCTGGTAATAATTTTTTTTATTACAAAGTATTTCTGGTATTAAAACCTATTTTACACAAGTTTGGGTGTTAACTATTTACCCATAGCTGGGACCCTAACAGGTGCTACCACCCCGGGTCAGGGTGGACCTGGGAACACCAGCAATTACGAGGTGGTTCCACGCTCCTCAAAACCTCCTGATCAGAGGCCTTGCTGTTGGATGTAGTTTATCGTCATACCCAGGACGAAATTCTTTCAGAAAAGTTGACATTGAAAAAAAATAAAAATAAAAATCGGTGGCGTAGATGTATACTTTGCTAAGATTCGAGAATTTTCATTAATTTCTCTTTTGAGGAGTGTAGCTTTTTTATATCAAAATATTCGACGTATTCTAGCTTAGGAAAAAAAGATTAAATTTACTTTAGTACTCAGTGAACATTGAATGGTTCAGAGCAAACAACTCGCTAAACATCTTTTCGTGATAGGCACATAGGTATTTGTATGGATCTGGATCAAAGTTATCACACATAGACCCCTGTGAGGATATACGGCATTAAACTTTCGAATTCTTTTCACAATAAAGTTAACTCATGATTGTATTAGCGAAACACCACAAAGTTTCAGCCAACCAGTAAACAGAACAAATAGAAAAATAAAACGACAATTATCAAACAGTTTCAGGTTATCGAGTAAAAATTTACAATTTCAAGCAAAACTTAGTTAATTCCACCTGCCTGAATCACTGACTAAGCAATTTCAGTTGACGAGTTTGAGACCTACATTTTTGTTGACCTTAGAAAACGGACACTACGCAGCATTGTGACGAGACAATCAAATTAGACTTTTGTCGGCACATCTCCAAACTTTTCGACATTTGCATACACGGAGATTGTTTCATCTGAGAACAGACGATAAGCTTTTACTTATTTATAAGACAGACATTTTATTAGAAAATATGATCAATCGAACGAGAACGACGAAAGTGAATAGAAATCGAACAATGAAGAAATCAAAGATGGAAGATAGCTGCAGATATGTGTGCAGGAAGAAGACGACGTCTCTGCAGGGGATTCTTTCGCAAGTCGTCATTTAAAACTACTGATGACGTGGAATTTGCTATAATAAGCAAAGTGCAGAATCTATCTATCTATCTATCTATCTATCTTTCTATCTATCATGTCAGCATGTGAACATCTATCTATCTATCTATCTATCTATCTATCTATCTATCTATCTATCTCAGTCAGTTCATATCTATCTATCATATCAGCATGTTGACATCTATCTATCTATCTATCTATCTATCTATCTATCTATCTATCTAAGTCTGTTCATATCTATCTATCTATCTATCTATCATGTCAGCATGTGAACATCTATCTATCTATCTATCTATCTATCTATCTATCTATCTATCTATCTCAGTCAGTTCATATCTATCTATCTATCATATCGGCATGTTGACGTCTATCTATCTATCTATCTATCTATCTATCTATCTATCTATCTATCTGTCTATCTATCTCTCTAAGTCTGTTCATATCTATCTATCTATCTATCTGATATGGAGATGAAAGAAAGACGATTTTTTACGTACATATTCTGTAAATAAACACGCTAATCACTGACAGTGTTAAATTTGGGAAGAGCTTGTAATATTAGTAGATATGACAGATAGATGATAGATATGGACATGCACACACACACACACACGTATATATGTCTCTGTGTCTGTTCATATCTATCTATCTATCTATCTATCTATCTATCTATCTATCTATCTATCTCTCTCTCTCTCTCTCTCTCTATATATATATATATATATATATATATATATATATATATATATATGCGGGTGTGTCTGTTCATATCTGTCTATCTATGTCAGTTTCTTCACATCTATCTATCTATCTATCAGCATGTTGACATCTATCTATCTGTCTATCTAAGTTTGTTCATATCAATCAATCAATCAATCAATCAATCAATCAATCAATCTATCTATCTATCTATCTCATATGGAGATGAAAGAAAGACGATTTTTTACGTACATAAGTGAATAAACACGCTAATGACTGACAGTGCTCAATTCGGAAGAGCTTGTAATATTAGTAGATATGACAGATAGATGATAGATATGGACATGCACACACACACACACACGTATATATGTCTCTGTGTCTGTTCATATCTATCTATCTATCTATCTATCTATCTATCTATCTATCTATCTCTCTCTCTATATATATATATATGTGTGTGTGTGTGTGTGTGTGTGTCTGGATGGCCATTTTGGAGAAAATTTTCGAAATTGTTTCATTATGACATCTCAGGCTCTTTGAATGGTTAGCTAAATATTTACAAAGTGGGCAAAAACCTTGCAAATGTCTGAAAAAGTGCAACGTATAATCAAAGCTTAAAGACCACTGGCAGATCTTAGTTTAAAGGTAGCCAGCATGGTTTCCACAGCACTGATCTTAAGGGGATAGGTTCGCTTACCGCTCGGTTCACACTCCTCTTCCATATTTGGTATTCGATTAATGAGATGCATGTGCCACTCGATCAGCTTCATCCCACGTATCGTTGCTTTGTGGAACCGTCTCCCAATAGGATGCTTCCCCGATCAATCTCAACCTGTTTAAGTCTCGTGTTAACCGGGATCTTTCCCACATATTTCCACAAAATATGTTCCCTACTCTATAACCCTTGACCTCGAGTGACTCTCGGACTTTGTACAGGGTAAATATTATTAGAAAAAAAAAGAACCAACGTTTGTGCAATTTTTATCCTTCCACGGTTGTCTAGAGTTTTGTTTTTATGACCGCCGTTTATAGCGGAACGAAAACGAGTCAGATTTTCCATCTGACATTTCATTATGGCTTGATGGATTTTTATTTATATTTTTTCTTATTTTTATTTATTTATCTTTTTTTTTCTTACTCGTTGCTTAAATGTTGAAAGAGGTATTTCGCACATTAACTGTTAATTCGATACTTTAGCACCATACTTATTATAAAACCCAAGTTGTGTGTCTGTTCGTTTATATATTGGATCGGATTTCCTACATTTTTCAACCGATTTCAACAAAACTTCACAGGACTGCGTAAAATTACCGCGCGGTGGTTCTGACAGCGCCAAAAATTGAAAAAACAATTACTTTTGTACGAAATCAATTTGAAAACACGATTAAGAGGCATCGCTGTTGCGAGAATGAAAGGGAGACAACTAATATCGAGTTATACTTATTATAAAACCCAGGTGTGTGTGTGTGTGTGTGTGTGTGTGTGTGTGTGTGTGTGTGTGTGTGTGTGTTCGTTTATATATGGGATCGGATTTCCTAAATTTTTCAACCGATTTCAACAAAACTTCACTTTTTTTTGGCAGGTAGTGTTTCTTATTGTCTTGCACACTTTTTTCTTTATTTTTACATTCAGAATGCTTTAAAAATTCCATTTACAAGACAATTGTTTATAATAAAATTCTATTCAATCGGTAGACTCATAACGATTGAAAACAATGTTTTTGTTTGAGTTTGGGTTTGACCAATTCGTTAAAAAAAAAAAAAAATCTAATTAAGACATGCGTGTCCGTCAACCTAAAACAATAATCTTTGTCAATTTTATTTTTCAGTCTTTATGATGATCGATACTTGATCTATCTCTTACTGTTACATCTCCGGGCAACGCCGGGCTCTACTGCTAGTATAGAATAAACGCATAACATCGTGACATTCAAAAGGGGTCTATTTTTAGATAGTCTTCCACCCACGAATTTTCGTTCTTTATTGCTTAATAGAAGTCTCTCGACTTTCACTTTATTTCTTTTTTTACCAACTATTGGACTATATGTGAATTATAAAAAACTGTGACTAATTCTTTGTTAAATGACCAACTTAGCATTATTGCTCACACCTCTTTCCGTTTTAGTCTTCTTTTTTAGTAACGATCGAAAAACGTAAATTTAATTTCAATTGTTAATCTACATACGTTAATGTACCACGTAAATTGATAGTTTTAAACGAATTGTCTAAGTTTACACGTTCAACATGTTTAAAACGATAGTTGTTTGTTGATTTATATTCGTTTTTAACACGCTGAATAAGTCGTAATTTATTTATTTTAATCGTAAAAACAATGTAAATTTCTAGTTATTTTATGGTTGAATTTTTTTTTTTATCTTTATTAAAAAGAGTAACCATTAGCTGGCGAAATGAAACTTGATGTCGGGAGAAAAAAAAGAAGTAAAAAACGGGTAAACATAATTACCTTCCAAGTAACCGGTGATAGGGTATCCACAACAAGAAAAAAAAAAAGGAAAATCCCCCCCCCGTAAACAATTTAAATAGATCTCACACCATTGTGATTGGGTGTTGGTCAACTTCCAATCAAATGTTTGAAATCGGGTTATACTTTGCATAATATAATGGGGAAGTCGTTGATTTGGGATGCGACCTGTGCGGATACATTTTCGACCGGTAATTTGATCAGTTCCGCGGTTGAGTCGTTGCCCGTTACCCGGGACGCAGAGATAAAAAAAAAAAAAAAAAAATAGTTAAATATTCTTCTCTTGCTGATAGATTTTTTTTTTTTTTTTTTACTCCTGTGGCAGTGGAGACTTCTGGGTTTATCGGTCCTCTTTCGATGGTGTTCCTTCGGAGGATTGGCTCGATGGCGTCTCCATTAAGGGAAGAGCCTCGCGAAACGGTGTGGCTCTTGCAGCGTGTCTCACTGGAGATGGTGCGAGGAAATGCTTTCTCCATCGTTGCGGCTGGCAGACGACAGCAAAAAAAATTGTTATAGTCACTTCGTTCAAACTTTTTTTTCAATAAATTAAGATAAACAATTAAAAAAAAATTGTTGACTTATCTTCTCTTTGTAAGAATTTTGAATTATTTTCCGTTGCAAATCTGCATCATATTGGGCTCGTCAAAAAATTCGTTCACTTATTAAGTAGAATATATGCTGAATAAATATGGCGACAAAGATGAGGACAATAGTCCGAATAATGTAAGTAATGTACATAATACCTCATCTCAGAAATATAGACATATATGTATATCTTTATTTCCTCCGTTTTTTCTTTATTTATTTTTTCTTCTTTCTTTCGTGTCACTTTATTCATTTACTGTTTTCTTGTCATCTTCCGATTACATTATTTGCCATGAACATTTTCTATTCTTTCTTTCTTTCTTTCTTTCTTTCTCACTATTTGGGATTTAATTAATATTCTTCTTCTTTTTCTATCTTTTTCTCCTCCTACTTCTTCTCATTCTCATACACCTCCTCCTCCCGTACTTCTTTGAATGAGTTTAAATTGCTAGATTTAATTTGATCAGGTCCACGGTTGAGCCGGGGTCTGTCGCCCGGGACACAGAGATAATAAAAATAGTTAAATATTCTTCTCTTGCTGATAGATTTTTTTTTTTACTCCTGTGGCAGTGGAGACTTCTGGGGTTATTGGTCCTCTTTTGATAGCGTTCCTTAGGAGGATTGGCTCGATGGCATCTTCATTAAGGGACGAGCCTTGCGAAACGGAGTGGCTCTTGCAGCGTGTCTCACTGGAGATGGTGCGAGGTAATGCTTTCTCCATCATTGCGACTGGCAGAGGATAGCCAAAAAAATTGTTTATACTTTGTTCAAACTTTTTTTTTCAGTAAATAAATTTGTCATTGTTCATTAAGTAAAATTTAGGGCGGAATTTGCCTAATATAAGTCAGTGTCTGTAGGCTGTTAATTTAGAGGGCAGATCCAAGACTGATCAACTCTGATGGGGTCGACTTGGTGAGGGCAGTATGATGTTTGAAAGACCCGAAACCGCACAATGATCCAATTCAGAACATGTGTGACGCCGCCGTCTAGCGCTAAAGAGGGTATATTCAAAGCTATTTCTTTTTTCTTTTTTTTTACGTATTGCCGCTTATGAAGGTTGTAGTTTCTTTGTTGTTTTTTTTTTGTTTTTTTCACCAATTTTCTCTTCTTTATTTTTTCTTTTTTTTACATGTGCATTTTTATAGCCTTTATATTTTTTTTCTTCATTGAATAACGATTCTATATAATTACTAATTGGAAACTGATAACTTATATTTGCGAAACAATTTTCGCTGGTTCTAAATTTCTTTCTTTGAATCGTTGGATTACGACAACGGAAAAACTGACAAGAACAACAAGCCAATAGATTCAAAAGCTTTCGACAAGCAAAAATAATATCAGCATTTTTAGTTTACTATTTTTAATTTTTATTTATTTTTATTTTCAGTTTTTTTTTTCTTTTTAATTTAATTTATTTTTTATTATTTGCCGACATATCTCCGCATTGCTTTAATGGGACTCTAAATGAAAATGACAGACAAGCAATCGATGGGGATGGGAAGTGCGGTAAGGATCCAACACTTCATTGCTAGCTTTATTGAACGGTGACAGTGAAAGCTGTAGGTTGCTACCTGCGAGGAAAACGAACTGAGAAACTGGCGGGTGGGGGTTCTAAGAGTGATATCGAGTTGTCAAAAGTTCTCTTACTGAAGAAACGCTAATTTCTGGTCATAGGTTGGGAAATGTGTTCATTAACGATTGATTAG